AGTCCGCGACAGCATCGGGCGGCTCGGCGTCGAGCCCCGCCCCCCCCAAAGGAATCCTGTCGACTCTGACGAAGCGGGTGCGGACGGGAGTACTGATGGCGGCGGTGGCGACGGTGTGGATCTTCAGCGGGAACTGGGTGTTTTCCGTCGGCTTCGCGTTGCAGGCGCTGCTGGCACAGCTGGAGTACTACCGGATGGCCATGCAGAAGGGTGAGCTTATTGGCGGGGAGGGCGGCGGGAGCGGGGGACTTGACGCATGTTGGGGGTAGGGTGGCGCGAAGCCACCTTCAGAGACCACCACGCCGATCTACCCATCTACGCTTGCAACATCATCCATCTGTATGCTTACCACATCCATCCAGAGAAAGTACACAGCCACCCAGTTCATCATGTACCCAGGCTTCTCCCTCAAGGGTTGATATTGTCCAGTAACGGTACGGCGGCCAAGACCGGCACTTTGCCTGTTTGAGTCGAGAAACCCTCGGGGGAAGTCAAGAACTGGAATCGTGGAGTGCAGCCGCTCTCCCCCACGGTATCAAACGACACCGTCTTGCCGCGAGCTTGGTTGTCAACTTGTCTCGCCATATTTTGTTCCTTGTGTTACCATTCTCTCGTTCGGCATTTAATGCCAAAAACTTTGTATTTAGACGCCCCCCCCCCTGTTTTTGTGCTTCGTGCTTTTTCGCGTCCGCTGCTCATGTCACGGCGGACTTGTTTTTTCCCTCGCAGGCGTGAAGCCGGCCCGGCGTATCAGTGCGGTGGCTACGGTATTGCTCTACTCCTTCGCCGTTGGATTCCCTTACCTGCACAACTACGTCATGGCCAACATCGGACTGTAAGTGCTCAGGTTGCGTGCAGCATGAGGGGCATTAGGATTTAACCTGCGTACGATGCCGGCAGAACCCGCCGAACATTTTTTTTTTCTCCTCTTTCGCATTTCGGTCCCTGCGTATTTGTTCCGGGTGTTTTGTCTTGCCCCCATGAGCCCATGGAGGTACATGTACCTTGACTTTGGTTTGCCCGCTTTGGTGTTGCTGTGTCCGCTTGTTTTCGGGGACTTCTCGACCCTGGTTTTCTACGGAAAAATCTGTTTCATGGTCTCGAAATGTTTACCAGGTCTGCCCCCCTGCCCGTTTGACACCACCAGAGCAATGAAGTGGTGATGATGATGGTGATGCTGGTGATACCCCATAGGCAACAGCTACATCATGCGTTTTCAACCCCTATCCCGCTCCCCGTTTGACACCACCGCCTCTTGGGTCAACAGCTACATCATGTGTTACTTCCTCCTTGTGAGACGCACGCCCGCGACGATCGGAGACATCTCCACCACCTTCATGGGTGTCTTCTACGGCGCCTACCTCCCCAGCTTCTGGGTACGGCTCCGAGCTCTCGGCACGGGTTTCCCCACTGTCTCGTGGGCGGGGGTGCGGGCGTACTTTCCGTGGTACCCGGCGTGGGCTCCGGTGCCGGTGCCTGACACGATTACCCAGGCACGTTGTTGTTGTTGTCATTTTTGTTGTTTTCGTGTTGTGGTTGAAATGTTGCTGTTGTTGGTAGTGGTAGCGGTAGCGGCGGTGGTTGTGATGTTGTTGTTGGTGCTGACACCCCCTGCGCTTTTTTTGTGACGTCATGTCACGTCACCCTATCCCCCTACTTTCTTACTGTAGTCTCTTTCGACACCATCATGGCCGAAGCTAACAATCGGCTGAACCATCGCGTGGTGGCACCTAATCACCCCCCGCCCCGCCCTACGCTCCGTCTCCTCGAGGATGCGTGGTCAATGGTCTAACCAAGCTTGCAAAATATAAGAGTACCCCAACCCGCGCGCCCCTCCTATTCACAGGGCGCCTTGATCACGTGGTGCACGTACAACACCATCGTGGCCGCGGACGTGGGCGCGTACTTCGTGGGCAAGTCCCTGGGCAAGACGAAGCTGTCGGCGGTGAGCCCGGCGGCGGGCTACGCCTCCCCCAACAAGACCATCGAGGGTCTCCTTGGTGGCCTAGCGGCCTCGTCGCTTGCTGCAACCATCGGCGCCCGCCTGCTAAGGTGGCCGGCGTGGTGGGCAACGGGGCCCGCCTACGGAGCGATGCTGTGCCTCGTAGGCCTTGTGGGGGATCTCACTGCGTCGGTTTTTAAGCGGGACGCCGGGTTCAAGGACTCGGGGAGCCTGCTGCCGGGACATGGGGGGTACCTCGACCGCGTGGACAGCTATATATTCACGGCGCCCCCGGCGTACATCTTCGTGAAGTTGATTCTTCCTCTAGCCGCGAAGCTCGTCGTAAGTGTAGTTGTACCGTCTTTGGGTGTTGTGTCCGGGGGGGGGTGCGAGAGGTGTTAGACGAATAACTTTTGTTCACCAACGCTGCAGCAGCAGCAGTTATTTTCTGCATTGCCGTGGGATCTGTTCGACCAGCCGTAGTCAACGTCTCGGTTTTTTCTCCCCGCTTTTATTGTAAATTGTTCTTCGAGATGTGGAATCGAGATGCTGAATTAGAGGGGTGTCGTAGTTCACGGAGACGCAGTCTGCTGCGTGCGTGGTTTTCCCTGTGTCAGCAGTCGACTTCGCGCTCAGTCTAGGCAGCCCAACAAGCGCGAAAGAAAGCAACTATATGCCAATACTGTGTTATTGTGATGACTTGTCGTCATAGACGGGACGGGACCACAAGAGCGCCCCCGATGTCTCAAACCAAACAACTGCAGAACTACTGTCTGGTACTTGCTGCTTTTGATTGTCATGCGCTTCGAGTGCGTGGGAGAGGGACACGAGCCACTCGCTGGACGCTTGTTGTCAGGTGAAGAGTAACCTAACGCGCTCTTGTCCATGCACCTCGTTTCCCTCCTGTGCTGTCGCGCACCCCTCTCCCATCTATCGAAGGCGAGCCACGTATAACGGAGGAGATTGGGGGCAGCGGTGGCGGAGCTTTGTCACCGCCAGTACAGTCTCCCACTCTGACGCCGGTCCCAATCGATGTAGGCGAGCAGCAGCAATCAATCAAAGGGGAGTGAACCACGGGGTATCACTAGACGGGAATCCCTGTAAATGTAGCTGGCATCTTGGTCTGGAAGGGATTTGTTGTGATGGTCGCGCTCGTTGCCGCCCGGCAACTGCTATGTGCGCGTTTTTCGAGAAAGGTTGTTTAATTGTGGCCAGACGTAGAGAAAGCCCGCGGGGTAAGGGCATCATACACGTTCGACTTTGTGAGGGTGTTTATTTGTGCGAGCGAGATGGAGGGGTTTAAGGGGGCATCACTGTTTGCTTGTTGAGATGCAGCCGGGGCTTCCGGTGTTGCCAAGTTCTTTGTTACCCTGCCGGTTGCAGGGGAGCATGTAACGTCGTCGTGCGAGAAAATGGCGTTTTATTTAGGGGGTTGGGGGGCGACGTTACGGAAGATTAACTTGTAGTACCATACGTAAATGGGTGATAGTATTCTCGGCTTTCAAGAGGGGGCGCACCACTGGGAGGCCGTTGGTTTCCCTTCGGGAATGGGCCGCTACTGCGGTGTGCTCGTTGGGCATCGATCAAACGAGCAAAGTTCCCCACCACGACAGCAGCAGTGTAGTTGACTTGGTCGGCTACGGCGGAGACGCGCAGGAGGCTCGCGATAGCACTGTTGTGGTATTTGGACCCTTTGACTAAGATGCCATCTGGGCGGGTATATATTTCAGGAAATATCCCGACCGCCTGCCCAGATTTCCAAGCCCGGTACAAGTAGAGCTTGGGTCTCTATCGACCTACAGTCACTTTTTCTGCCCCTGTCATTTTCATTCGCATACAGATAGCGCCCGCACTTGAGCAACGTGAAAACGGGTCGAGCCTCAATCCCTTATTTTGGGTCGAAGTACCGGCCCAAGTCGTCCACTTTCTTAAATGGCATTTCTTATTGCTTTGGACTGTCGAATCCTCCCGATTCTCTTATTCGTTACAAGTACTTCGTATTTTCTTGTATTTGTATTTTTATCTCTGAGGACAATCCACTTCATCTAGCCCTCAAGAGAGGCGGCGGAGAGTGCCATCGAACCCGTACAACAGCGGAGAGCATGTGATTGTCGGCGAGGTGTGGCAATGCTACAGTACAGCACAGTGAGCAGCAGGGGCGTGGCGGCGGGGCGGGTGGCGCGAAAATAACCACTCTGCCCCATTACAAAAAATAATGCACTTCTGTTCAGCTAGGGAGGGGGGTGGGAGCACCGAACATTTCTGATGTCGTGGGGGTATCGCACCATCATGTGTTTTGTTGGGGCGTTTCTTACGTTGTGGCCTAGATTGAGCTATGTTTCTTAGCCCTTTTATCTTATTTTTCTTAAAAACTTGAACCTCTTTTTTCTCAACAAAATTGTGTGCCGTGTTGTTGAAAGCTTCAACCGCGGGCGGTAACATTAAGCCCACGAAACGACCGCCGTATTTTTTCGATTCGCTGGCATCTATGACGTGCTCACACCTCGGGGAAGGAAGACGAGGATCGTCGTTCTGTCAGGCCTATGTAGGCGTTTTTTTTTTTGGGTGGTCGGTCAATCTCCGGACCGTTACATAGAGTATACAGAACACGCCACCACTTAAGAACTTAGCAGTTAAGAACTTGAGCCTCAAAAACTCCAAAATTTAAGAACATGGTCATAAGAACATAGGCTCATTTCTGACGAGAAAAAATAACTAGAACCCGCCTTTGTAGTGTAACGATGAGCATACAGATAAGAACGGAGCCCCCAAACACGGGCGGCTGCAAGATAAGAACGCAGGAAAGGTGGGGGGGTGACCCCAACAGCAATTAGTTTCAGATTCATTCGGGGGGAGGGGGGGGGGCGGGGACCTCGACAAATATTCTTGCACGCGTCCAGGGGGGGGTTGCCGAATTTTACACGGCGTTTCCTCCCTCTGGTGCTCGTGGTGTCGTGGTGCTGGGTGCATGGAGGTGCATGCAGGGGCACCATGTTTTAACTCCTTGAGACATTTCAGGAGCTCGATCAACTTTCAAAGTTGAAAGGAAGAGGTGTCATTCTTGATCGACATTACGAGGCGATCAAGCAACATGTCTTGCGGGCAACAGGCTCAGCAAATGACCCTGGGAGGCTATCGAGTTGGCACAGGGGCTGGAACACGGGGGCGTCTTCAAGCATGAAGAGTGGACCAAAACGTCCTACCGCCCGAGCTTAATGCGCGGGAGGAGCCAGCTCCCGCGGGAGAGGATTCTTCTCACGGACAACTTGCACGTACGTGCAGAAATATCTCACAGAGCACTGCAACACGCTCGCCTACTGCTTTTTTCCGGCCAACACCACGGACACATGCTGAAAGTTGAGGTTGGGAGGCAACTGGATGTTTGGCTCTCGGGCAGGCGGACAACATCGAAAAGTGGGAAAGCAACGGGTTGATGGCGTCTGACCGGCGCGTACTGATCACGCAATGGGTTGGGGCAGCCACGGAAATTCTCGACAACCGCGAGGAGTACCGGTTTCGCCTTTTCGAGAAGTAAGTGTGGCATGGCGATGATTGTTGACGGTTCAGGCGATGTACCGAATCAACATGGAGGGTTTGGACAAAACGTATCCCTTTACGGACGCCTAGGACTCCAGCGATAACGAGGGACCTCTAGAGCCTGGGGAGGGTGCGCGGGGGCGGGGTGACCAGAGGGTTGAGGGCGAAAGAGACACCAGCAGGGAGGGCATGAGCAACGGCGGATCCAGCGACGAAGACGATGAAGGCAAGTTGGATGTTCACCAGACTCCTTCGTACTTCTTGTTGTTGTTGTTGTTGTTGTTGTTGTTGTTGTTGTTGCTCCTGCTGTTTCTTCCACGGATAAAAATCAGTTTCTGACAATGATGATGTTGCTGGGATTTCCAACGCCGCTCTCTGCAGACACGGCCCGCGGCCAGAACGACGAGCTGAGTCTTCTGGACGAAGTTTACACCATGGACCCGGCCGATGAGATTCACGGCATGGAGGTTCCGGACGGTTTTCGCCTTCAAGAGGCTACGCCCGCTGCTCTTGACAATTCGCTACTGCAGCGTGTAGTACTCGTTTCGCTGAGCACAGACTGGTTTGCCGGGCTGATCACTCGGCAATCTCAACAGCGTACCCGCCAACCTTTACGACTGCCACCGTGTGCTTTTCGAGCTAGACAAAAGTACACGCAACATGAAGCTGCGGTTGGAGAGGTACATTGGAGATCCGGATGCGGTTGTAGGGTCGTGGGTTTTGCTGGAGGGGAACACCGTAGACGAGGGGGGAGATCCCACCATGGCTGAGTCGGTAAAATCTCCGGCCATCATCGGCAGTGACAGTGCAACCACGACGGGAGGAGTTCGTAGAGCAGGGAGGACACGCACGCCCAACGTGGCCCCTGCAGCCTACTAAGCGGATTAATGTTGCCCATGATTCCTCTTTCTACGGCGATGCCACGTCTATTTACCCTTCCACTAGTGTTTTACAGTGATCGCGCTTCAGCTCACTGGATCCAGAACTCCTCCTGCTGGTTCTGGTGTTAAACGCGCTACACAAGAGTGTCTCGTTGAAATCCATCCAGAAAACCCTGTGTTTTCCGCATGGGGTAATCGGCTAAGGAATAAGAACAAGAACCCCATTTATCGTTGGTGGATGCCAGCTCCGAGCAAGAACTCGGAAAACAGGAACACGTGCTCGGTTTGAGGGTACCAATAAGCGTCGAGCCTCACGCAAAATAAGCGGTTCTTAATTAAGTGGTGGCGCGTTGTATGCGGAGAAGTGTCTACCGGGCGGGGCCTCACTCGCACCGACTTATAGTATCATGAACTTTTGTTATTTTCTTGGCTCCCTTGGTGCTAATGCTTCTTTGCGCGGGAGGTCGCGAAGTGATGAGCCGGTCGAAAACGTGTGTTGAGCCGCTAATGGCTGTGTGGGGCTAGGTGTTTATTTTATTCACGTCGTCATCATGGTTCTTTGTGCGGGAAGCCGCGGCCATCTTGTCCGCCCTCGTGCCGCCGTAATTCTCTCACGCGTACACGTAAAATCTGTTTTTGTGGTGCGCCAAACTCCGTAAAAGGGGAAACAGCAGTTTGAACCATAAAATCCGGCGTGGAGACTACCGCACGCAACTGCTGTATGTAGTTCGGATATCTCCCGGAGAAGAAAGGCCCCTTTCTTTTCCCAAGCTCGGTAGAGCTTGGGTCTCTATCGACCATTTTTTTTTTTTTTTGTCTGTGTGCGTCATTTTTTTTCGCATACTCCTCCCCTCGACCGATCGGGTCTCAATAGCCGATCTCAGCCCACACTGCGAACCTCCGAGAACTACCACCAGTCAGTTCTGTGCAGCTGAGACGATTTCAAGACCTCTCACTGCTGCTGTTGTTGTTGTTTGAGCAGCTATATCGCTTGCTGTGACGTGAGTTTCTTTTCGAACCGGAAGCGCAAATTTTTGAGGAACACACAAACAAGGACAGGAAGGATTGCCAACAGTGGAAGGACAACACCTCGGCAGGAAAACAGCGATAAGAAAAAGAATGTTCCAAACAAGCCCAAAAGATCTCCTTTCAGCAGCAGCAGGACAAAACAACATCCGTTACGCGGCTGGTGGTGTGTTCCCGAAGAAGAGGTGCACAAATTGACCCCCAGATACATGCGACGAAAGCTACAGTAAAACATAAACACAGCAAAGCTGTCGTGTAAGCGTTGATCCCCGCTTCATGTCCCTAGGTTTCGAAGGTCCTGTTGCCATCGTTATATGTGATGGATTTCGGTGATTTGGGTGAGTGATTGGACGCCCATATATCTGGTGATATCTACCCCCCTATTTACGAAAGTAGGCGTTTTCGTGTATTGTAAGCTGGCGACCACATCTCTGGTGTGCCCGTTCACCGACCGCGGTAGTTTCAGTTGCCACCGAGAGAGTCCGGCTCCCGACTCGCGAGAGCGCCGTAGCGCAGGCTCAGTTGCCGCCTTCTTGAGAGAGTTCATCTCGCGTTCAGGACTTGCAAAGGAGTGGATGGGCCACGGGCGCTGTTCCTGGGAGGTTTGGCAACCGAGTTCTGCGTGAGTGGGTCCACAGCAAGGTGGGTGTGAGGGGTTTTGGATCGTGCACATTTTTGGCGGGAACTTGCGAACCTTGTCGTGTTCGCATCATACTGCTTGACTGCTGGGATCTGTCAGCAGCTAAGCCGGAAGGGAGTTGACAGGGTAGATGTATGAGGTTGCTGCGGCTCTGGATACTTAGCCGCCAGCCAGGAGGGCCATGGAGCAGAGGGTGGCGTCACAGATAGTTTTTGGGAGTTTTTTCCACCCAACAATATGCCGGCAGCTATTCCGCCGCTCGTTCCGACAATCTGTAGCCATTTCGCCGCCATGCG